GTAGTAACAAATTCTAAATTGTACTCCGTTTTTTAAATGATGTAAAATTGATATTCACCTATCGTACTCCATTTTTTAAACGATGTAAAAATGTAATAAAAATGTTTTTATTTGATTAGATTGTAGGTAAAAATATATATGTACCAACTGTTTTTTCCGTGTGTATGCACGGGTGGAAGCGTACACTATACAATCGGATGTACGATGTCATCCGTACAGTCGATGACATTTATGTAATTTTGGTGAAAACACGATTTCTCTTGAATGAGCATTAACACAATTTTGTTAAGTATCAAGCCTGTCTGTTGAGTATTAGGAGCCTAAGAATGAGAATCAGTGTTCTCTGCTTTATATTTGCTATCTTGCTTTCTTTTTATTATATTTTCCGTTTATAAAAATTCTTAAATTATGTAATATTTCAATTAATTTCAATACATGAATCTAATGTAGTATGATACGTTTAAAATGTGCAGCATATTAAAATGAGCATAAACAGCTACTAAATGAGCGTACATAACTTACAAAATGAGTATCAAAAAATTCAAAAGCTCATTTGTGTATGTTCATTCATTTTGGGCTTTATACTGATGTGAGTTTAACACAAAACTCATTTATAATATGCTCAATATTCACTTGTGTATGTGCATTCCGTTTAAGTTTATACTCATTTGAGTTTAATATAAAATCATTCAAGATTTGTCAACAAAGAAGTATGAGCTCAGTCTCTTAAACCATCTCTAAATATGTAGTCTTCATATTCTTCTTCTCGCAACATCGGCTAACAAAGAAGATCCCCAATCTTCATATTCTTCTTCATATTCTTGTTTGTTGTTTTCAAAAAAAAAAAAAAAAAAAAACAAAGAAGATCCCCAAGAGCCACTGTCTCTTGCGCAGCAAGAGGGCGTTCGTGCTTGAGAAGAGAGCGACGATGACGAGCAGTCTGCCTGGTGCGAAATCAGATTGAAGAAGCCAAGCGAGATCGAAGAAGAATGTGTGAACCATATGCGAAGCAAATCGGAGAAGTCCGGTGCAAAGGCAAGAAGCGTAAAAGTGTAAAAAGGTCGACTGTACCGTGCGCACGGTATAGCCGACTGTAAAATATATTTAGGAGGTGTTTACTTAGCTCCTAAAGTCATAGTTAAGTTAATAAGACAGGTGAAGTAAACACGCAAGCTGCTTAAAAAGATGTTTATTAACCGAAAGAGGTGCTTAAAGTGCCGCTTACTAAGCATACCACCATCATGTTTAAGCGGTAGTTTAAGCTTTTTTAGTTTACGAATCTACCATTACCTCTTGCCCTTACCCTGTTGTCAATTCCCTACACGTTACCCCCCTCTACCCACCCACCCATACCTACCTTACCCCGACCCCACCCCTTTACCCCTGCCACATGCCCCCTGTCTCGAACCCACCCCAACCCTACCCCCTTTACCCCTACCACATGCCCCTACCTCACCCCACCCCACCCTCGTACCCCTTTACTCTACCCCGATCCTACCCCTACCACATGCCCCTACCTCACCCCACCCTCGTACCCCTTTACTCTACCCCGATCCTACCCCTACCACATGCCCCTACCTCAACCCACCCTTTTACACCTACCACATGCCCTTGCTCCACCCCACCCCACTCGTAACCTCTTACCTTACCCCTACCCCTACCCCTTTACCCCCAACCACCTTCCCCGACCCCACCCATCATACTCCCCCTACCCCCATCGCCCTTTACCCCATACCACCTGTCCTTATCTCGATCCCACCCAACCCCGATCCCACTCCTACGAGTACGATAGGTGTTAGGGGGTATGAGGGTTGTAGGGGAGTAGGGGTAGAGGGTAAGCTCGTGGTAATGGTAGGGGTAGGGTCAAGGGAGTGGAATTGGGTGTAGGGTGTATGGTAGGAATGGGGGTACGTGGTATAGGGTGGGTATTGTTTTAGGGGTATGAGTACATGTACGAGGTGACCTCACATATTATGTTATATACTTTTGTTCATGAATGTTTGTGTGTCTATATATGTATAGGCTTAGTTGGGATAATTTAATGTTAAACGATGTTTTAAATCCTTTGAAGTAAAAATGAGTTTACAACACTGCTTATATAATGGACATTTAGCATATTGCCGTTTAGAGTGCACGTAGTATGCTACTTTTTTTCTTGAAATTAAAATAATTATCTATTTCTGCCATGTTCTTTACGGTCTGTTTGGATGAAGTGTTGAAAGGTGTTAGTAATGGAAGTGTTAGTAAGTGTTGGCAATGGCCCGGAAGGGAAAATAAGTGTAAGTGTAAAATATAAACCTACCTTGTTTGGGAGAGTTAAAAAATGAAGTATTAATAACGGAAGTGTTTTCAATTAAATTGACAATAATGCCCCCTTTTAAATTCTAAAAGCAATATAAATTCGAAGGAATCGAAGCCATGCCATTCTGGAAATACCTCTACTTCTCAAAAGCTTCTCTGTAGGCCTGATTCGTACACCACATACGAAGTACTGGTATGTTTTACTTCTTCTTTTTTGGCAAAATGCTGATATATTTTAGTTGACAACATGATTTTGCAATTCGAAAAAAACATGAATCTGTAATTATTAAACCTCATGGATGACATGTGTAGAGAAAAATTAAAATCGATGAGCCAAGACATGAATCTGCAATAATACATGATGGCAGGTGGGGAAAGTGGGAAACATAAGCAAAGAAAGATGGTTCCAATCGGATGGGATGACTGATAAAGGCTACGATGGTAGGATTGTGTCGACGATTACCATTTTGACGGAAGGGTGGATGAAGAACGGCAGGAAGAAGGGCAAGTTTTGTCCAACACTCCAAAACACTCCAATTTGGAGGGTTAAAAAGTTACTTATTGATAACACTTTTAAACACTTACTAACACTCCAAATTTTTCTAAAAAATCTCCCAAACAAGTGTTAGAACCCAACCCTCCTCAACACTTCCGTTACTAATCTTTGGTTTTTGTCGTGGGAGTCCTAGATAACCGTTTTCATGTTTCCACATCAAGATGGAAATGACAAGGCTTGAAGTCCCAAATATGCACGCATGCGGATTTCACAAAGCTCTTCGCGGTTCCCTACACAATTTCCCCCCTTCTTGGTATTGGGTCTAGCTCTCAACACAGTGCGTTTCATTGCACAATATTCGACAAGGCATAGCATCAAGCCTACCAGAAGCATGGTTTCGCCAGGGGGCAACAGCAATGGTGGCGGAGCTGCAACAGAACAGAGAGTGAAGTATCCCTCTTCAACATCAAACCCTAAAGTCGATAGATTTCACGAGATTGTTCACGCTGATCCCACCGGTAAACTCAATACGGGTCTTCTGCTTTGATTTCTCCTGGGTTTCGACAAAGAATTCTCTAATATCATAACAACTGACTCGTCCCTTTACGATTTTTTCGCACTGAAAGTAAAATAACATGTAATGGAACTAGATGGCTGGGAGAAGTGCTGGGAAGAGAGACTAACACCATGGGATTTGGGACAGCCTACTCCAGTTCTTGTTCATCTCCACAGGGCAGGTGCCCTTCCTAAAGGCAGGGCTTTAGTCCCTGGTTGTGGCAGTGTAAGTTTATCTCACTCACTGCACAATTTGATTCCAAACAGAGGCCATTGAAGTCTAAATAATCACAGACTGCTTTAAGTACAAATGAGCCATTCTTGAATATGATTTTTCAGTGTATCAGCTATGTGGTGGCCTTCTCGAGTAGCAAAGGGAATAGTTATACTGTATCAGCTTCAATTCCAAAAAGGCTTGGAGTCAAGCATATATGCTCCCTTTAGGATCACAAGTTAGAATTTAGTGGGGAGGGTAGTGCAACAATTATTCATTAGAGGAGAATGAGGCATGCATTAGAATGCAATACTAACAAGCCCGATACTAACAATAGGTAATCAACAAGACAACAAAACCAATGGAGTGTACAAACACCGCATGGCGTACATACACATGTATATGTGTGTGCGTTTATGATATGTTCAATTTGCAATAAAATTTTCACCAGCACATATATTTAAATCGGTCATTGAACGAAAGCTGTTTAATTTGTGTGACAGGGTCATGATGTGGTGGCCATTGCATGCCCTGACCGCTATGTTGTTGGATTAGATGTATCAGAAAGTGCAGTTACAACAGCTACAGAGGTAAGCTTATGTTATTATAGTGACATTGATCCAGTAAAATGAACTTCACTGAGTTTGGCAATCTAGAATCAACTCATTAGATTGCATGAACCAAGATCTCCTTCATTGATCTCAATGACTGGCTTTTATTCTAAAAAAGAGTTTTATTTTAATTTGCGAACTATTCTTGCTACAGTGGAAGTGAGTCAAGTGACTGAATATTGATTAAGGTTCTTGGCATTATGAATATATCAGCTATAGTTTCTTCAAATTTTTGTTTCTGTGTGGACTGAAAGGAATCTTGTTGCTATTAATATGATAAGTTTGTTGGTAAATTACAGTTTTTTCCATTACCACACATGTCAATTTATGTGGTAAATAATCTCTATAGTCTATATGCATAATTGTGTAGTACTATAGCAACCTTGCCATCATAGGTTTGTGTGCGTCTCAAAGTTGTAGATGTAAGATTTGTGTGCATCTCAACTCCCGAGACCCTACTTTCTAGTGGGGGTGTAGTGATTGACGTACATGGTATGTTTGGTTTCGTTTGGTTTGATTTATATGCATGACTACATAGGTGTACTATAGTACCCTGCCACAACAGGTTTGAGTTGTTTATCCTTCAGAGTCAAAATATGTCCAACCTTACCAACTCCATTAGCCTTCCCTTTTCTGGTACCAATTAGAGTGTAACCTTTTCTAAACTGTAGCTATGATGCAAAATATGGGCTACCGTAAATAAACACAATGCATTGCAATTTAATTGCTTTGAACTGTGATCAACTCATTATTTCAAAATTTCCAGTATTTATCCATTTCTTATTTCGATTTGTTTCTTTAAACTCTTTACAACAACTTCTGCACACCGAGGCAGCTGTCTTTATCGTCTCCAAATGCAGACTGTTTTGCTTTCCTGAAGGCAGATTTCTTTAGTTGGCATCCTGTTGAGTTGTTTGACCTCGTTTTCGACTACACGTGAGTTTGTCATGAGTACGAGTTTATTCTTCTTAGTGTAAATTTCTCTTCTTTTCAGTAATGCCCCTTTTTTATAAAAACCATTGCAGGTTCTTTTGTGCCATTGAACCAGATATGAGAAGAGCTTGGGCCGGAAAAATACTTGAAGTTCTAAAACCAGATGGGGAGCTCATAACACTGATTTTTCCGGTCTGTTTCTTTTTATGCCTTGCTTTATCTTCTTTGAGCCCCCTTGTACCACCCCAAAGAAACACAAGTTCTCGTGCTCCTCACAGTCCTCATAATACTTTTATGTTTGGTAACTATGTAACGTGTAGTACCCATGATAAAAAGAGTCACGTTTGACCAATGTACGACTATCATAGATCTAAATCATGTATGTACTTTAAAATTTGTTGGTTGGTTTTACACTTTTACTAAACTTATCTTATGTTACTTGTCTATCACTCTTCTATGCAATATTTGGCAAAAAACGGCTTCATTTGATCAAAATGGACTCTTGGTGTGGGACAAAATAAGGGTTTGGACGGAGGAAGTACTCAGTTTTTAAACCCTTCTTTGTAGTCATGTGCGATCAAACAAAATTAATTTCCATGTACTTTGTCATAAAAGATTCACAGGCTAGTTAAAAATGATAAATTGAGTAACACATTAATATCAATAGTACAAGCAAGCTGAATGAATTGTTACTGTTGTACCATAACAAAGAAAGGTGCGAATTGGTAAAACAATACTTTTTGAAAAGATGAAGTAATATTTAGATGATTCAAACATTGAACTTTTATTTTTTAGAACAACTAAGTTCTTTTCATTAAATATAGTAAGCTCTACCTTCCCAAAGAGCTCTTGATCTTCAATTATAAAAATCAATTTATTTTTGGTTTTTTCCTCTCCTTTTGTAGATCAGTGATCATGAGGGAGGGCCACCCTATAAAGTATCTGTCGCTGAGTAAAGTTTCTAATCTGTGTTTATTGTTACCATTGGTGTTAAACTGAGTGCTGCTAAACACTAACATACTAATCCCTGATGACTGATTAAAATTACATCTTTCAGTTATGAAGAAGTTCTCCATCCACCGGGATTCAAAGCAGTTTATCTTTCAGACAACGATCTTGCTATTGCACCTCGCAAAGTGAGTGTTTTTTTCTTTGAAAATACCAGGCTGTTTCTTGGTCATATATATTCCCTAGTGTTGATGTCACGCATGTACAAATTCGTAAAGCATATTACTCCCCCTCCGTCCCTCTAAGATTGTCCCATTTTTCCTTTTCGGAAAATCCCACTAAGATGGTCCCATACCAAATTTGGTAAAGTTTGTGTGGCTCTAAATCATTCTTACTTTATTCTTACTTTATCAATTGATATCAACCACATAAACTCACTTTTCTTAATAATTGTGCCATGTCCTCATGTCTCAATGCTAGTGGGAAGGAGGTAGTATATTTTTATTCTGATTAACTCCTAAGATAATGAAGTAGTTGTAAAATATGTCAAACAGTTTTTCAAGCGACAAGCTATATTATGTCTATTACGTAGTACACACTAAAGATGTGCTTAATCGTCCTCGTTAGGGGTATAAATCTTACATCCAGTCTGGGCTCTGCTCTTTAACTCATATTGGAATATGCACTGTGAAAATCTTGGATAGCATTGTTTGTCATTTTTTTAAAATTAGCATTACCTAAAGATTTACCGGAAATAGTCTCTATGTCTCTATGTACAAGCCTCTATGTGTTGATCACGGACTGTTAGTCATTTTAGGTTTTTAAGCCAAACAACCCTTGCCAATCTGAATTGTTCAACTTTATGCATATCTGAAGTGACTGCTGTCTATTTTCATGTTGGATTTAAATCCATTTATTGTATTGATGTGTCTGCAGGGAAGGGAGAAGCTGGCGAGGTGGAAAAGGTCTATCAGCCAATCCTCCCTATGATAGTTGTTGTTAACCACTTTTGAGGAATGCATCTACCTTTTATAAATATAATGTAAAATAAGAGTAGAAATGCACTTTCAACATCGTCCAGAAATTGGTATAATGTGTATGCACTATGCAGTGCACTTTCAAGTGTATGCTAGAATTTTTTTTAAAACGCAAAAAACAAATGTCACTGATAAAGAAACTCTAAAGGAGATTGGTTGATCTCATGGATAACTAAAGGGCCAAATAAAATAAAATAAAATAAAATAGTATAGTTGGAATTTTAATCTTTATATAATGGGTTGGCCACATGAGTTGGGCCAAATAAATATGGGCTGATCGTAATGGAGTGACAAAGCATGAACCACTTAGGGTAGAAAAATCGTTGTAGTTTTGTAATTGGTGGAAGTGTGGAACCGTGGAAGTGTGTATGCCAGGCGCCACAAAAAACATCTTTATGGAATATAAGTATATAACTGAAAATATGATGATATGATTAATTGATGGAAGCAATTTTTGCACACCTTCATGGCTTCAAGTTGGATGTGTAAAAGCAGAGTGTTCAGAGAATAACTCATAGTCAAAGATGCAAATTACTCCGTACTATTGAAGAAATCCAGATTTGAAAAGAAATGTATTACTCCGTACCATATTTAGCTCAATTAACAATTTAAGCATGTAGAAGAAGGGTCTAAGGGAGAAAGGGAAAATAGTTTATTTTTCATTACATATATGATCATGATTCATGAGCGATATAATTTTTTATGAGAATTTAAATACTCCCTCCATCACCGAAAGAAATTACTCATTTGACTTTCACACACTTTTATGCAAGTAAACTTACCAGGGGGTAAATTTTACTGTTTTTACACTGTTTTGACATTGTTTGGCACTGTTTGACACTGTTTTGCACTGTTTGGCACTGTTTTGATGTAGATAACTTTCCATTTAAAGAAATGGGAATTTAAATTAGGGACATCCGAATAAGGAAAGTGGGAACTTCTTTCGGGGACGGAGGAAGTAATAAAAAGATGATAAAAAGAGTAACGTCATTGTTTTTTTTACTAAAACTTAAAAGTAGTTTATTCTTTAAGTACGAGTAATTATTGTCATGTTTGGAAAATATATCATGTTAAAAGCGTGGTAATGCCAAAATATAACAATAACTTCTCATATTTAGGGAATAAAAATAGAAAACATATTTTGGAATTCACAAACTGATAGAGTATATGGACTCAGACCTACGGTCTTACACTATTGGGCCTTGGACAGTGGCTAAATGATTCAACAAATATCTTTTATATTATTCAACACTATATTTATTTATTTGTATCTATTAGATTAAGCTTTTATTTAATTGAGTCTATCGAGTCGATATAAGCGATCCGGCCCACGTTTTCTTATATATAACTTGTAAGGCATAGAACTATGCACATTCTCCATTCATACACAAATACTTATCATCTCCTTCATAGCTCAATCTCTTCTCATATTATATGTTTAGATCTAATAATACAAATGTTTTTACTCATTTTTAAGGAAATTTCTTATTTTTTACTAGTTTACACCGTATTTTTAATATATACAAACAAATGAGTAATTTATCTGTTTGCAAAAAAAAAATTAAGTAATTTATCATACAAAATAAGTAATTTTATTTTCTTATATTGAAGGCATAAAATTTGAGTAAAGACAAGCCAATGAATAAAAAAATACTATTGAAGGGATCTCCCTCGCAGAGCTACGTGCCTACGTAAGGATTAGTTTTTCCGCCACATTAGCGTGCAGTCAACTTTTACTCTGCTATTTGCGACAACACTCTACACTTTGAAAAGGGGATGGAGAGGCTTGTTTCTGTGATTTGGATACTTGAGTGATACCTAAGGTGCAACAGTGACCAAGCGAAACTCTCCATAGTAGCAAGGCGTGTGACTGTGACGATGCTTGTAATGGCGGCTACTCCACTTTTGGTATCACCGGCGATGGCTACATCGTCTTCTGTTTTGGTCTTCGATCTTTTGGGTTTGGAAGAAGAAGATGAAATGTTGATGATCTGACATATTGCCGCCATGAAGTGAATGAGTGGCTAGTGTTTGCTTTAGTTTTATTTCGATAGACTATTTACCTTATTTTCGGATTGTTTGTGTAAGTGGCAGTCTTGAGTTATCTAGTTTAGCTATTATCGGAAATTCAGAAGTATTGAGATCTCTACGACCGTTTTTTTTCACATTTGTAACGGACAATTTCTGGTGTAGATCACAAAAAAGCTTAAAAGTCACTCAAGCATAAACCAACATTGCAAAGGGTAAACTAGAAGGATGCTTTTTGTTTGAGATAAAGAGAATTGAGACATCAAATTGCTTTTTAAATAGAATAATGAAGAGGGACAATTTAAATAGAACTCAAGATTGTCTAGACAAAAAAGAGACAAATGCTTATGTGCTCAGGCCTGCCTATTCTTCTTCTTGGGGCCGGATTTGGCAACCTTAAGGCTTCTGTTAACGGCACTCAACCTTGCCAGAGCTGCTTTCTTCAAGTCCGGTCTGTAGTAGTTGTCAGCAACCTGGTTGGTGACAGCCTTGGCCATGCGGCGGAATTCCTTCTTCATGACAGATTTATTTAGCAAATTAGCAGGTTTGTTCTGCTTCTTGGTCTTGGTTGTGGCCAGGAGCACAGTTTGATCTTTCCCCCCTTGAATTGTCACAGTTTTCTTGTTTGCTAACCCAGAGTGCTTGTAAGAGTGAAGATTGTAGAGATTGTTTGGTTCCTTGCTGAAGACAACGCCAGCGGTGCCATTACCGAACTCCTTGACCAAGTCACCGAGAAACAATTGTTCTTCTTCACAATCTCCCACACCAGCTGCCCAGTAACTGCCGCCATTTCGATATAGAATGGAAACCTGCTGGGGCTTTGCTCAGATGTTGCTGAGGAAGTAGGTCTTAGCCGGGGAGATCTCTACGGCCGTTAATTGCTTCAAAACTCTTGTATGTTCACCGAAAAGTTTCACTCGATTTAATGAAGATTTTGATAGTGAACCTATCTTAAGGTTTTATTTAGTTGAGTCTATCGAGTCGATATAAGCGATCCGGCCCACGTTTTCTTATATATAACTTGTAAGGCATAGAACTATGCACATTCTCCATTCATACACAAATACTTATCATCTCCTTCATAGCTCAATCTCTTCTCATATTATATGTTTAGATCTAATAATACAAATGTTTTTACTCATTTTTAAGGAAATTTCTTATTTTTTACTAGTTTACTCCGTATTTTTAATATATACAAACAAATAAGTAATTTATCTGTTCGCAAAAAAAAAATTATCATAAAAAATAAGTAATTTTATTTTCTTATATTGAAGGCATAAAATTTGAGTAAAGACAAGCCAATGAATAAAAAATGCTATTGAAGGGATCTCCCTCGCAGAGCTATGTGCCTACGTAGAGATTAGTTTTTCTGCCACATTAGCGTGCAGTCAACTTTTACTCTGCTATTTGCGACAACACTCTACACTTTGAAATGGGGATGGAGAGGCTTGTTTCTGTGATTTGGATACTCGAGTGATACCTAAGGTGCAACAGTGACCAAGCGAAACTCTCCATAGTAGCAAGGCATGTGACCGTGACGATGCTTGTAATGGCGGCTGCTCCACTTTTGGTATCACTGGCGATGGCTACATCGTCATCTGTTTTGGTCTTGATCTTTTGGGTTTGGAAGAAGAAGATGAAATGTTGATGATCTGACATATTGCCGCCATGAAGTGAATGAGTGGCTAGTGTTTGCTTTAGTTTTATTTCAAGATTTATTTTTATTTCGATAGACTATTTACCTTATTTTCGGATTGTTTATGTAGGTGGCAGTCTTGATGTGACACCGCACCCGAACGTCCTTGAAAATTCGATTTTAAAATTCAAAAGTGATGTATTGAATTTCCAATTTCAAAACAATGGGAGAAACGATTAATATTTTACGAAGTACATGATTGAATATTGTATTGTTCAAACCCGCATTCTTTTGTAATTTTCATCGTGTAAATTATTGGGATGAGCCTACACATATTGGAGATCAATAATGTGATTTAGGAAGTTGACTTGTTCTAAATAAATTAGGATGAGTACAAAAAGACATCTTTGACAAAGATAAAACAATAGGACCCATCTTCCCATTTTTTGGAAGTATTGGTAGATATTTTGGACCCCAAATTTAATGGGATCAATTGGGAACCACTCCACATGGTATTAGTACCTGCAAAACAAATAAAAATGGGTTAGGAGACTTACCTTGGCCGGCCATTATGGAGAAGAGCTGCACATGACTTGATAAGAATCAAAGTTTGGGGCCACCACTCTTATTTTCGCACAAATTGGTGTGCTGTTTGTCTCCTCTCATTATAGGAGCTATCCTCAACCAAATAACGTGTATGAGGTGTCCTTGGATAGCCTTTGAAGTCTATTATCTCAATTGAGTGGTCTTTGTTCGAGGAGAGAAGGCTTATCTTGCAAAAATCGAGCTGGAACGAGCAAAGGTCTGTGAACTCGAGCTGTGAGAGTGCTGAGACTGTTTGGTCGATATCTCGAGTTTTACAAGTCCAATTAAGGCGTGTGAGATACCCACAGAAAGCTCTCAAGACGAGGAATCCGTGAAGGTCTGGTTTGCAGGAATCGGAATTGTGGAAGGCTTCCAAATCGTCCGAGCAAAACACAACCTCGCAGGAGAGGATTTAATCTTCTAAAGTGAGTTTTAACCCCAAAGCTTTACTTTTCATTCTCCAAATGATATGAACGATTGGTGAGACTATTATACACTAATCCAAGTGTATAATATGTCCCTAAAAAGTTATCTTATTGATGTAAAGGTTAGATACTAACCTAGATTCAAATATTGGAAAACTAGGAATCGAGTTAGCCGGAAAACACCCGTTCTAGGGGCTGTTTTCGTATCAACGATTAAGGGTTGAACTAGCACTTTGAGGAGGCTGTTTAACACTCATATTTGAGCAAGGAATCAGTCCCAAATCCACCTTGACCAAAGATTTGACCATTGGACCAAGAAGGGAAAGTTTAAAGCTCAATTGAGGTGAGGATTGACATCTAATTGCTTACAACTTGTAGGTTAAGCATGAGATTACCTAAATGCTTAAATCATGATTTTTCATGGATTATGATGACTATATATTGATGAAATATTGATATAGTTGCCAAAGAATGAATTTGGAATGATTTGAGAAAGTATGAATAATATGAGATTAAATGAGTATAAATGAACTATTTTGTGAAAATGGGCATTTTGCTCATGTATGAATCATGTGGATACATAAATGAATATTTGTGTATTGAGATTGAATACTTAAGTTGCTGCTACATAATTATAAATATGTAGAGAATTACAAACAATGAGGATAATGGTACGATAACAATAATCTTAATAGTATTGGAATACTAGTTAGTGATTATTGGAACTTGTTGATTAAATTGATCCTAGGGATTGGATTGTATGAAAGGTACTTGAATGTAGTTCAAGTGTATATGATAACTTAGTATGGAACTAAGGTTAAGTTATGGGGAGTCTTTAAGGATGACCCATGGTAGTTTAATGATATGTCAATTCTAGGCATAGGGTTGCTTGAGAATTGGACCTTAATGCATGGTGATGTGATAGAGCCGAGCTCTAGAATGCATGTAAGGTGTAGACTTGGAGTCTATGTATTGTATAGCTAGAGCCGAGCTCTAGGACTTGCGTGGTGATGTGATAGAGCCGAGCTCTAGAACGCAAGGTAGGGAGATTGACCCGAGGTATATGAATTGTATGGTGATGTGGTAGAGCCGAGCTCTAGAATACAATGTCATGTACTAGGGTTGGACTCTAGGAGTTGTCGTGGCTTATAGTCACGGGGTTGGGAATGGTGATTTCCAAATGAAAACGGGCCCACGGGCCGACTACTTGACTTTTATATAAAGTAAGTATATTTTTAAACGGGGTAACTTAGGGTTACAATCATAATGTACTATCACCCTACTTGAGGGTCTTGTGTTTGAAATACTTGTTGTATATCTATTAGATGCCTGCCACACCAGTACTTTATAGCCGTATAGAGTACTGACCCCTTCGGGGGCGTCCCACCACCATTTCAGGTTGAGGCTAGAGCTTGCTTCCTGTGCTCGTTGATCGAGTGATTCCTTGGAGAGAAGACTTGGTTCGTGCTTCCTCCATTCTGTTTTTAAATAATATTAAACTTGCTCATGGATATTTTACTTTAGAGCCTGCGTGCTCATGTTTGCCCTGTGTGGCCCTTTTGTTTTAAACAATGTTTTCCGCTGCGTATTCAATTGTTTATTATGATGTTTATGGATGACTTATGTGTGAATGATATTCATGACGCCTTGTATAATATGAATGTGTTGGACTGCGGTTGACTATTCGTATTGTACGGCGGGTTGTTGACGTGTCCGGGAAGGTCCGGGGCGTGACAATTAAGTTGGTATCAGAGCCTTAGTCCATAAACTTCATAATGAAGTCTCAAAATTCTCTTTTTGAAAAGATTTTGAAAACCATGAGCATAGAAGTTTTGTACTTGGAGAGCTTTTGGTACTTGGGTTGCAAGGTCTCTAATTGTTAAGATGGTACCCTTAGCAATTGGTATGGCGGTGACTCGAGCCAAAATGTGTCTTAAGTACCTATCCGTCAATTGACATTTGATACGAGTCTAACGACTCCTTCCAAATTTCTTTCAGAAATGGACCGTGGTGGCAGGATTACTAGGAGAAACCCGACGGGTCGTGTACCAGTGGAGACTGGACAGGGCAGTCGAAGGACCTCTAGGGCATCTAGAGGAGCTGGCCGTGGAGGCCGATCACAGACCGTGAGTGACGGTCATGTCGACACGGAAAGTGAAACCTACTGGTCCTATGAGGACTCGACCTATCGACCGGAAACTGAACCGGTTGAGACCCCTTATGAAGGGGATGATGACGATGTAAGTGATGAGGAGGAAAATGGCTCCTTAGCACGGATCGAAACACTACTCCAACAATACCACCGGGAGCGTGAAGAGAGGAGGCAACGCCGAAGACGCCGAGCGGGGCAACCTTCGGGCATGGCTTCAAGAGGAGGAAGTCATGGTACATCTAGAGTCCATGTGGAACCACATGGGGGTCGGGGTGATGGAGGTCCAATCATAAGGATCTCCAAATACATCAAAGAGGCACGAGACTTGGGGTGCAAACCGTTCGATGGGACGGGTGACATCTCCGTTTCGGCACAATGGATTAAGCGGCTGAATGAGGCAGCCCTGGACATGCAACTCACCCCCGAATATAAACTAAGGGTTGCGGTAAGATTGCTCGAGGGGATGGCATCCAAGTGGTGGGATGGAACCAAGAGCAAGTACGGTGAGACCGTCGTTTGGGAAGACTTCCAACGGGAGTTCTTTGCCCAATATTATTCTGATTTTGAAGTGAACAAGAAGGTGAGGGAATACACCCTCCTAACCCAAGGGGGTAACATGACAGTGAAGGAACTTGAGTACAAGTTCCGGGATCTCGCCGACTACATACCGGAGTATGCTTGCGACGAGAACCGAATGGTAAACCACTTTTGGGATGCTCTAGACTTGGAGATACGTGACAGGGCAACACAATTGCCTAACATGACGTTTGCCCAAGTGGTTGACCAAGGGTTGAAAGGAGAGAAGCAATGGGAAGAAAGGAAGAAGAGAGACGCCGAGGAGGCGAAAAAGAGAAAGTGGGAGAGTCATGGCTCCCAAGGTTCCAACAAAAAGGGGAACCACGGAGGAGGATCTTTCCGGGCACCACCGCCACCATATAGGGGGAACCAAGGCCCGAGTGGGCAAGGCGCGAGGTCACAAACCTCAGTGGTAGCTCGTTGCAACAATTGCAAGAAGAACCACTCCGGTAAATGTCGCGACCCCCCTAGATGTTTTCAATGCGGGGATGCCGGGCATTTGAAGGCACATTGCCCACAATTGAGTGGGGCAAGGACATCGGGGCCGAGTAGCGGTCCGACGGGTACACGGAATCAAACCGGAGCTTCTCAAGCGAGCCGGGGACATGGGGGAGCGAGTACGAGCAACGCGCCATCCGTGAATCAAGGAAGAACTCAAGCTAGAGTTTATGCGATGACGGAGGCGGATGCTCGAGCTAACCCGGACTCGGTTGCAGGTATTGCCTCTTGCACAATTGTATTTTGTCCATATTTAATCCATAAATTGATGACATAAGTCATAGGGATTGAGTGCGAGCCATTTCGGGGTCAAACGGCGAAATTCGGGCCAAAACTGACCAAAAACAGGGACGCACGATCGTGCGTCCAACCCCACGCACGATCGTGCGTAGGGGACAGTGGTTCCAGGTGAATTTCGCGCAGGACGCACGACCGTGCGTGCCGGTACGCACGCCGTGCGTGGACGCACGATCGTGCGTGGCCGGGTACGCACGATCGTGCGTAACCGGCAGTGGTCGGATTCGACGCTTCTTCACGCACGCACGACCGTGCGTGTCCCACGCACGACCGTGCGTGGACCCCAGCCGCCCGAAACCTAAGTTTTTCCTCTCGTTCTTCTACGATTGGACCCCCGTTTGATTCCGAACATCTATATGAACCTATTAACCTCCAAAAAGTGTCCTAAACCATTAAAAAAGGTGTCTTACATGGTTCATGAATGTAGGGACACTAAAGATTAACGGGAAGGATGCACGAATCCTTATCGATACCGGAGCGCAACGTTCATTCGTGAGTGAGGCGTTTGCCGAGAGCTTAGAGATGCAATCAATACCAATGACACAAACCTTAGTGGTATCAACCCCACTAGGGGAAGACGTTGAAAGAAACAATTACTATCCATCTTGTATGGTGGAAATCGGTGGCCAAACCTTGACGTGTGATTTCGTACCGCTGAGTATGATGGAGTTCGATGCAATCCTAGGGATGGATTGGCTAGAAAAGCATCATGCTAGGGTAGATTGCTACACAAAGGTGTTGGAACTCGAAGGCACGCATGGGGACACCCTACGCTTCGAGGGGGACCGCGGCAAATCAAATAGTTGTATCATATCCGCCGTGAGAGCGAGAAATATGATGAGGAAGGGATGCCACGCATATCTAGCATACGTGGTTGACAAAACCAAAGAGGGAACGAACATCGATGATGTGAGGGTGGTTTGTAAGTATCCGGATGTCTTCCCTAAAGACCTACCGGGGCTTCCACCTGACAGGGAGATTGAATTTGTGATCGAGGTCGAGCCTGGTACCAAACCAATCTCCATACCGCCATACCGGATGGCACCCGCTGAACTTAACGAGTTAAAAACCCAATTGCAAGAGCTTTTGGATAACGGTTTCATTAGACCAAGCCACTCCCCGTGGGGAGCACCGGTTCTTTTTGTGAAAAAGAAAGATGGGACACTTCGAATGTGCATTGACTATCGTCAACTGAACAAGGTCACAATCAAGAATAGGTATCCGTTGCCTAGGATTGATGACTTGTTTGATCAACTACGAGGAGCAACCGTGTTTTCGAAGATTGACTTAAGGTCGGGGTACCATCAATTGAAGATTAAGGAAGATGACATACCAAAGAGTGCTTTCCGCACAAGGTATGGGCATTTTGAGTTCCTTGTTATGTCGTTTGGGTTAACAAACGCCCCGGCGGCATTCATGGACTTGATGAACCGAGTATTTCATAAATACTTGGATCGATTCGTGATTGTGTTCATAGATGACATCTTGATTTACTCAAAGAGTGAAGAAGAGCATGAGGAGCACTTGATACTTGTTCTTGAAACACTACGGGAGAAGCAACTCTATGCCAAATTTTCTAAATGTGAATTTTGGCTAAAGGAGATTGGCTTCCTCGGGCACGTGGTTTCGGGATCGGGGATTGCTGTTGATAACAAGAAGATAGAAGCCATCACTGAATGGGAGAGGCCAAAGAACGTCAAGGAAATTCGTAGTTTCCTTGGATTGGCAGGCTACTATAGAAAGTTCGTGGAAAAGTTCTCTGTTTTGGCATCGCCATTGACGAAGCTCACTCGTAAAGGAGCTAAGTTTGTATGGGATGACAAATGTGAGAAAGGGTTCATGGAACTGAAGAAGAGATTGACTGAGGCACCGGTACTTGCATTACCCAAACAAGGTGTGGGGTACGATGTCTATAGCGATGCGAGCATTCAAGGGCTCGGATGTGTACTGATGCAGAATGGGAGGGTAATCGCCTATGCTTCACGACAATTGAAGAAGCATGAGGTGAATTATCCTACTCATGATTTGGAGCTCGGGGCAGTGGTATTTGCACTGAAGATATGGAGACATTATCTCTACGGGGAGACATGTCACATATACACTGATCACAAGAGCTTGAAGTACGTGTTTACTCAGAAAGAGCTAAACATGAGACAGAGACGGTGGATGGAGCTGATAAAAGACTACCATCTGGTGATAGAGTATCACCCAGGCAAGGCAAACGTGGTGGCAGATGCTTTGAGCCGGAAGAGCTCGTCTGGGGCATTGATAACTAATTTGAGGGCATTAAGAGCCCAACTGGAGGTAACCAGCGATGGTGCCTTATTGGCACGATTTGAGGTGAGACCCACTTTACTTGATGAGATCAAGAAGGGTCAGGAAGCCGACGAAGAACTTATGAAGGTCCGGGAACGCATGCAAGCGGGGCCGGTGGAGGATTTCAGGGAAAGAGATGATGGTCTCTTGTTATTTCGTGACCGAGTGTGTGTACCGTCAGATGATGAGCTCCGAAAGTCCATCTTAGAGGAGGCTCATTCATCGGCTTATGCCATGCACCCGGGGGGCACGAAAATGTACCGTGATTTGAAGGAAAGTTACTGGTGGTCTGGAATGAAGAGGGAAATAGCCGAGTACATCAGTCGGTGCCTTACTTGTCAACAAGTTAAGGCAGAACATCAGCACCCAGCAGGCTTATTGCAACCACTCTCCATCCCTGAATGGAAGTGGGAGCACGTGACTATGGATTTCGTGGTAGGCTTACCACGGACTATCAGGAACTATGACGCGGTTTGGGTCGTTGTGGATAGGCTCACAAAGAGTGCACACTTCTTGCCTATCAACACTACCTACCCACTTGAGAGGTTAGCCAAATTGTATACGGATGAGATCGTGAGGCTGCATGGGGTCCCGGTGACCATTGTATCTGATAGAGACCCACGATTCACATCACGTTTTTGGCCGAAATTCCAGGAGTCTATGGGAACGAAGTTGAAGTTCAGCACTGCTTTCCATCCACAGACGGATGGGCAGTCTGAAAGGGTTATTCAGATCCTAGAAGACATGCTGAGGGCTTGTGCATTGGAGTTCCAGGGAAGTTGGGACAACCACTTAGCACTTGTGGAGTTTGCCTATAACAACAGTTATCAGGCAAGCATCGGCATGCCTCCATACGAGGCATTGTATGGGAGGAGGTGCCGTACACCGTTATGCTGGGACGAGGTTGGCATGGCCAAACTCGAGGGTACTGAGTTGGTTGAGGTCACCAAATCAAAGGTGAAGTTGATTCGAGAGAGACTCAAGGCGGCTCAGGATAGACAAAAGAGTTATGCAGATAAGCGTCGAAGAACCTTAGAGTTTAAGGTTGATGACGAGGTATTCTTGAAAGTTTCTCCGTGGAAAGGGATCATTCGGTTCCAAACCCGAGGAAAACTTAACCCACGATATATAGGTCCATTCAGAATTATAGAGAGGATTGGGGCCGTTGCATATCGTCTACAGTTGACTCCTGAGTTAGAGAAGATACATAATGTGTTTCATGTATCCATGCTTAAGAAGTATGTGCATGATCCCTCTCACGTACTAGAGAAGCCACCTGTAGAGGTACGTGAGGATTTGAACTACGCTGTTCAACCTATCAAGGTCACCGATAGAAAGGTGAAGAAGCTGAGGAGCAAAGAAGTCCCAATGGTTAAAGTCCTGTGGAAGAGCGATCGGGTCGAGGAAGAGACATGGGAAACGGAGGCTTTGATGAGGAAGCAGTATGCTTTCCTATTCGAGTAGAGCTGTGAATTTCGGGGACGAAATTCCTGTTAAGGGGGGGTGAACTTGTGACACCGCACCCGAACGTCCTTGAAAATTCGATTTTAAAATTCAAAAGTGATGTATTGAATTTCCAATTTCAAAACAATGGGAGAAACGATTAATATTTTACGAAGTACATGATTGAATATTGTATTGTTCAAACCCGCATTCTTTTGTAATTTTCATCGTGTAAATTATTGGGATGAGCCTACACATATTGGAGATCAATAATGTGATTTAGGAAGTTGACTTGTTCTAAATAAATTAGGATGAGTACAAAAAGACATCTTTGACAAAGATAAAACAATAGGACCCATCTTCCCATTTTTTGGAAGTATTGGTAGATATTTTGGACCCCAAATTTAATGGGATCAATTGGGAACCACTCCACATGGTATTAGTACCTGCAAAACAAATAAAAATGGGTTAGGAGACTTACCTTGGCCGGCCATTATGGAGAAGAGCTGCACATGACTTGATAAGAATCAAAGTTTGGGGCCACCACTCTTATTTTCGCACAAATTGGTGTGCTGTTTGTCTCCTCTCATTATAGGAGCTATCCTCAACCAAATAACGTGTATGAGGTGTCCTTGGATAGCCTTTGAAGTCTATTATCTCAATTGAGTGGTCTTTGTTCGAGGAGAGAAGGCTTATCTTGCAAAAATCGAGCTGGAACGAGCAAAGGTCTGTGAACTCGAGCTGTGAGAGTGCTGAGACTGTTTGGTCGATATCTCGAGTTTTACAAGTCCAATTAAGGCGTGTGAGATACCCACAGAAAGCTCTCAAGACGAGGAATCCGTGAAGGTCTGGTTTGCAGGAATCGGAATTGTGGAAGGCTTCCAAATCGTCCGAGCAAAACACAACCTCGCAGGAGAGGATTTAATCTTCTAAAGTGAGTTTTAACCCCAAAGCTTTACTTTTCATTCTCCAAATGATATGAACGATTGGTGAGACTATTATACACTAATCCAAGTGTATAATATGTCCCTAAAAAGTTATCTTATTGATGTAAAGGTTAGATACTAACCTAGATTCAAATATTGGAAAACTAGGAATCGAGTTAGCCGGAAAACACCCGTTCTAGGGGCTGTTTTCGTATCAACGATTAAGGGTTGAACTAGC